ATTCCCCCAGCCCCTGTTCATTTCCCCAGGCAGCCCCTCCCCACCACCAACACTGCTCCACTGCATGTGCAGCATCCCCCTCCACCACCAGCCCCCACTAAGTTACCTCATTGTACTCCACCATATACTCCCTTGGTCCCATAGGCTGTGCTGCCCTGCCCTCTGCAAGGGCAGAAGGAAGTGAAAGCTGAAGCAAGGAGGGGAAGCCTAGAAACCCCAGTTGCAGCTGCATAGGAGCCCAGGGGCTGCACATTAACCTCTTTGCAGGCTGTATGCAGCCTGCAGACTGCTAGTCAGACAACCCTGGCCTAGACAAAACAGCTAAAGGATATAGTAAAAGGATACTGCACTACGCACTCACATAGGACCTGTTCCTACTGAAGTCATGGATGAGTTGGTCTAAGCTAAAATCAGTGTTTTCTGGCTTTTGGTAGGGGTCAGTTTGTGAGTTGCCTATCTAAATGCATGGTACTTTACTTCACAAAGAGTCCAATTGATTTCAACAAGCTACTTACAGAGCAATATTCTATACAGTGTGAGCCAGGGTTTGGTCCTTGGTTTGTATCTTCCTCATCCCCAGTTGTTAATAAAGGCAATTACTGCAGCATTTATATTAACTTTGACATGGCTGTAATAAAGCCAGATTATTATTTTACATTCTTGTTTGTTCTGTAAAGGATAAAAATCCTCTGCAACAATACTGTTCATCTTAGCTGATTTAAGCAAAAAACCTTGCTCCACATAAATCAATCATTTTGCATAGGTGCAGGACTGGAACATTAATGTAAGAGTGACTTCCTTTGGACTGTACTGGAAAGTATGATGTTGGTTCAGCAACATAAACAGGTGCTTAATTTTAAACAGAAAGAATCCTATAATGGGATGGTCCTCCACTTAAAATTGGGCATATGTTTAAGTACTTTGCTGAATCAGGACTTATACCTTGAGACATTCTTTAGCTGAACACTTAAAGAATGACTACTTCAGTACTATCCTAGCCACTAAAGTAGATGAAACATTCACACAGGTGGCCTCTAGATAGTGTAATTGGATTTTAAATAGTACCAACCCTGAACTATAACAGCTTTCTGTAAGTTACAAGAAAGCCACTCATTGAGAAAGTCACATTGATTATTAATATGGCATTCAGCACTGCTTTCTAAACCCACACAACTCCTATTCCTTTATGAAAAATGTATGACTTTGCTAAAGGCTAGTTCTTTTAAACCAATCATCTTTTGCAAATATGAAAAGACATATGAGATGGCAACACAGCATAGCCAGCATGTTTGATGATTTTTTAATGTTTTGAAAGGTCCATATTTTGTTTCCAGAGAAAGTTTGCAGTTAATAGTATTTGAATTTTCCTAGGTATCTTCTTATGAGAATTGTCAAAATAATTTGGCATATTATAAAATATCTCTGCACTTTCTGTTGGATAAGTGATGCAATTGGAAAGCCAAGTAGTCTTGGACATCATAGTTTGGTAATCTAAGTGAAAAGAAACATTGACCAGATAAGAGGAGTTCTTCTCACTAATTTACAAATCATACCACATATTGTGTAGTTTTGCAGTTTGATCATTGGTGCTTATGGAAAGTCATATTTATTTAGTCTACATAATGATTTACAGTTTTAACTCTTGCTGTATTAAGTAAGAGGATTAATATATCTATTCAAATTGGCTTACAGTACTACATGTACAGCCAGACAGCTGCCTTCTGCTATATTTAAGGGGCACTTCCTGCATAGTAATATTAGACCTAGATATGGTGGTAGATGTGAGAAGCAACTGCCTAGAGTGTCTTAATGCTACTATAATACTGCATTTCTACACAACATCAAGGTAAACCTGTAAAATGCATCTTTTTATTAGACATTATTGGTGTGTATAATGGTAAGGCTCTGTATTTACAATAGTGACTTTGATAACAAATGTAAGTGAAAACTGACTCATTTGACAATGAGTATGACTTAAGCTTTTGAACCACTGGTATTTAAGGGAAAAAATAGAAGCTTTCTTGCTGGGTGTATTGTTGATATGTGAACCCTGATTCTTCCCCTTGCAATCCATATGCTCATTTACAACTTTGTAAAATGCGTAAGTAGTGAACTTAAAGACACCAGTCTGGATTTGGTAGCATTTTATGCTTGTCATGCAGACAAGTTTATGGAAGCAAGAAATATGAAGCAATGAATTTAAGACTGTGAGTTCCAGTCAGCTGGAAAGTACTTTGATTTTAACATAGGCACAAGAGCTATGAAAGGCAAGATGACAGTGAAAGGCAAGATGACAGTGAAATAAAAACAGTTATGGTAACTCTTATATATAAAGCCCATCAAAATAATAACAGTGTGGCAGGACAGCTGGGGTTTTGATGGCTGTTTCCCCTTTAATGGTGATGCTGAGGTTAAAAAAACAAAACACAACTTTTACTTTCAGGGGGCTTTTAAGGATGACGGCATTTCTGTTTTGTTTGGTTTAGTTTCCTTTTTTTAGCATTGCATCAAGTTGCTGTAACTATAAACTACCACCAGAGGACAGTGTTTTAGAAGAATATAATCACATTTTATCAAGCAACTAATTAACATTGTAAATACAATCTATGCCAATTATACCATTATGAAGCGGGAATGCAAATATGCTGATGTCTTGAAAATGTAAAAATTCAGTTCCTTCACCAGCTATAATTTGGTACCCTTCTGCACAGATAGTATGCACTGCTATGTGTAGGTTGTTAGATACGAAAGTCTGCATGCCTATATAATGTTGCTGATAATGGTTGTTGTGGAAACCACATCTTTTCTACTCTTATGCATATTTAAATTCTCACTTTTACTGCTGCATTACTATAGCCTTGGTTTTGTTTGCAGATAATTTCCTTGTCTTTAAAAAAAGAAAGAGAATACAAAAAGGCTTAATTAATGGATATTTATTATAAAGTATAGTGAGGGACTTGGAAGAAAAAAAGAAGACGTTCAAACTGTAAGACCTAAGAAGAATAGTGCAATTGTCTAATTGAGTTAGAGGTGAGCAAGAAGTATTGTCATTGAGAGAAGCGCATTGAGATGGAAGGAGAAAAAATTACAACACACAAGGTGGGATTGCTGTCAGAAAGCATTGCTCCCCTAAGCTGGGGGAGTGGACTTGGCATTCCTCTCCGCCTTCTAGCTGTGGAGGGATGGCTGTTTAAAGATTAGAGGGTGAAATTTAATCATTCAAAGTGCAAGATCATGTACTTAGTACTTCTGTAAACTGGAGACTCAGTTAAGTAGGATGAGGAGGAGTATTTGGGTGTATTAGATAGGACGACTATGGGCATGTCTGTACTTCAGTTGCAGCACTGCTAAGAAAGCTGCTGAGAAGTGCAGTCCCACTCCCCCACCCAGCTCCCTCTGCACACACCAAATCTGACAGTGGGGCAGTAAAACTGCCTGGAGGGTACTCCCCACTGCTATTCTCTATCATACTGGAAACCAGTAGATCTCAGGAGTGGTGATGGGATGTGCCCTCAGGGCAGCTTCACTGCTTCATTCCTGGGTGTGATGAGAACAGGAGGAGAAGGTGGGAGGGCTGTGCTTCTTGGTGCCTCTCAGAAGTGCCACAGGACTGGTATAGACACAGGTCTTAGAAGCCATCAGTGCAATGTGGCTGTGAGAAAAGTAAATGTACTCTTACTGGGTGAAATATCAGTGCTATTGTACAAATCACTGGTAAGACCTCATCTGGAATACTATAATATTCTGGAGCAGGAGAGCTATAAGCAGTGGCATAACTGGGGCGGAAGAGGGGAGCAACAGGGGCAACCACTCCAGGTCCTGACTTGGGGGCCAGGGGCAGAAAAAAAGCAGCTACACTCACTTGGCAGCTGTGTATTTGTGTTCATGATTGCAAACCAGAAAGCACTGCTTCCATTTTGCCCTGGATGCCTGGCTGCACCCCTACAATGCTGGCTATGAGGATGAGCAATTAAATTTTATGAGGGGAGACTAAAAGAGTTTGGTTTGTTTAGCACAGCCAAACAAAAACTGAGAGGGAACATAATTGCTGTCTATAAAGACATCAGAGGAAGGGAGGAAGAAACACCAAGGAGGGAGAAGAGCTACTTGAGCTAAAAGACAATACTGGAACAAGGCCAAATAGGAATATAATTTGTCCATGAAGAAAATTAGTCTGAAAATTAGAAGAAAGTTTCTAATCAACAGAGAGATGAAGTTTGGGAACATCCATCCACTGTAGGCAGAAAACCTTACCTGGTTTTAGGTTGGAGCTTAGTATGATGTGATTTTATGCTATAGCGCAGGACTGGCCTTGAGGACACTTCCAGTTTCTAGAGGTAAAAATAAAAGAGCTCCCCCCATGTCTCTGGCTTGGATAAGCCACATTCCACCCCCTCACTCCCCCTTCTCAACTTACGCAGTGATGACTCACTCTCCTGTTGTTAATCTACTTTATCCGCTGCACTTTCTTTATCGTCTATTCACCACCATAAGGAACAGTGTGCACAATGCCATAATACCCATGTTGTTTATT